GGAAGGAAGGAAGGAAGGAAGGGACAGATGAAAAATACAGATGATAGAAGAGAAATGATATATAGAGGACAGAGAGGCACAGAGACGAGGGAGGGAGGGAAGGAAGGAAGGAAGGAAGGGACAGATGAAAAATACAGATGATAGAAGAGAAATGATATATAGAGGACAGAGAGGCACAGAGAGGGAGGGAGGGAGGAAAGGGAGGATGGAAGACAGACGAGGGAGGGAGGGAAGGAAGGAAGGAAGGAAGGGACAGATGAAAAATACAGATGATAGAAGAGAAATGATATATAGAGGACAGAGAGGCACAGAGAGGGAGGGAGGGAGGAAAGGGAGGATGGAAGACAGACGAGGGAGGGAGGGAAGGAAGGAAGGAAGGAAGGGACAGATGAAAAATACAGATGATAGAAGAGAAATGATATATAGAGGACAGAGAGGCACAGAGAGGGAGGGAGGGAGGAAAGGGAGGATGGAAGACAGACGAGGGAGGGAGGGAAGGAGGAAAAGGAAGGAAGAGAAAAAGATGACAAGAGAAAGAAAGATAGACACAGAGGGAGGGAGGAGAGGCAGAGGATGACTGGACACAGGGCAGGGGGAGCTTCCCGGCCTTCAGCCCAAGTGCCCCCCCCCCCCTCCTCAGCCCTGGCGCATCCCTCCGGTCGCGAGGAAAGGAAAAAGCAGGAAGGAAACGGAGTCAGGCTCTGTGTTCAAAACTCTTCCCCTCGGCCGGGCGGCCTCACTTCCTCCACGCAGCCAGCCAGGGCCAGCGCATGGGGGATGAGTGAGCGGCATGTGACAGCGGCGCCTTCAGCCCACCCCTCCAGAGGCCTGGCTGCAAGGTGAGGGAGGGGGAGGAGGAAGAGATTGCAATGCCTACAATCCCCAGAAGCCTCCGGGGCTTGCAAACAGGAGCGTGGAGTTGGGGGCATCTCGTTCCTAGAGAGGGAGGCTCTCCAAGGTTCGCCTGCCATTCAATACAAACCAAGCCAATCTTCCTTTTAAACTTTTCAGAGCGGTGGACTTCAACTCCCAGCATCCCCCCAGACTGGGAATGATGGGAGTTGGAGTCCACAAGCATTAAAAGTGGCCTAGGCTTTAGGAAACGCACAAATAAATGGCATAAATTTATAAAATTCATGCGTAAAAGGTTCTGCTTTGGTTTGTGAGCTCCCAAGGATGGAAACGCCCCGTGGCTGGAGAATTCAACCGCAGGCAGGTCCTCAAGTTATGACCCACAATTCAGCCTCAGGTTTATGTCGCTAAGCGAGACACTTAAGCCCTGTTTTACGGCCTCGCTTGCCATAGTTGTTAAGGGAATCGATGCAGTTCTTAAATTAGTCACACGGTTGTTAAGTGAATCCGGCTTCCCCCCCCCGCTGACGGGGGAATTACACGCACTGCGACCGTCGTAAGTATGAGTCAGCCGTCGAGCGTCCAAATGCGAATCATGCGACCATAGGGGGGGGGGAGCAGCTGGGACGGTCGTAAAGAGTGGGCAAACGGTTCCTTTTTTTCAGCGCCGTTGTTAACTTTTAACGGTCGCTAAGTGAACCGTTGTAAGTCGAGGACTCCCTAAAAAGTGCCACACCGGCGTTTTACTCCCAACTTCCCGTTAAGAGCCGTGCAAATCATCAACCTGGGACTCAGCAAAAGTTTATCTTATCTCATTCTTTTCCCCGACAACACAAGGAAGGCAGGTGTGTGTGTGTGCGCACACAAACACACACACACACACACACAGACACACAAATGTCAAAGGAGAATCTGTGAGGCTGGAGTGCCGGAGAGAATCAAACAAATTGCTATTTTAACAGGAAACATCACACAGCAAGCAAGGAATTTTTTTTAAAAAAAAAACAAACCACAATGGACTACTGTTTTGAAACTAAACAAACACACACACACACACACACACACACACACACACACACAGAGGCACCACAAAACGGAAACCGAAGAAAGGGAGGGGCGTCCCGGAG